CAGCCAAACAGGCAAGGAAAATATGCCGTGGCATTGGAGATGAAGGACTGAAACAGCTGAATGCCAGTGGACTCAGTGATGATGATAAGAAAAAACCAACAAAACTATGGGAATTCTATGAAGCCCAGTTAAAATTGAATGTAAACTTCAGGATCCATAGACTCCATCTAATGCAATACAGGCAAAAAGCGAATGAGAGCATTGATGATTTTGTGACCAGAGCCAGGACACTAGCCCGAAAGTGTCAGTTCACAGATGAAGAGCTCAATGAATGTTTAATTGAACTTATCATTGCTAGCACACCCCATGATGCTCTGAGAAATGACCTGTACAGCAAACCTAAAGGCCATTCTCTAGCTGATGTACTAGCAGAGGGGTGAAAATACGATGCCCTGTCTGCAGGCGATGAACAATTACACCAGCTTGGCATGTCACATAGTGAGACAATCCATGCAGTGGACAGAGGGTGCACATGCCCAAATGGTGGCAGGAGTCACAAACCCCGTCTATGCCCTGCATGCAATGATAAATGCTCTGCATGTGGTACCAGATGCCACTGGGCATGATGCTGCCGGAAAAGCAAGCAGTAGAGGCAGCAACACTCAGGGCGTGGTCAAAAAAGCAATTCTCCTCCACCTGAGAACGGACAGGAGACGGCAGCCCTCCAGAAGCCAACACAAACATTGGAGAGAGTCCCACATCAATGCCATAGACAGCACAGAGGCTGAAGAATGTGAGTACCAGTCACAGTTCTATTCAGTCACCATCAGTGAAAAAATGCATGCAAAGCATTGAGAGCAAGCCACCCAGAGAGGAGGCGAACACAACTCTGAAGGTTAGATCACCTGACCTGCCAGGCCGTGGACACACACTCCGCCTAAAATAGACACAGGGACACATTGATACAGCGAGTGAGAAGGCATATAAAAGCCAGGGTAATGCTCAACAAAAAAATGACAAAACCACTGAAGAGGATATCAAACAGTGCAGAGCTGAAGGCAGCTTATCCAGACCAGTTTGAAAAAATAGGCAACTTAAGTGGAACCGTTAACCTCTTTCTGAAAGAGGATGCTGAACCATTCATTGACCCACTACGGAAATGCAGTATCCACATAAAAGACAAGCTACAAGCAGAACTGAATAAAATGGTAGAGCAAGATGTGATATGAATAGTTGAAGAGCACAAAGACTGGTGCTTCAGTATGGTGTACAGCACTAAAAAGGACGGGTCCCTCAGAATATGCCTAGATCCTAAAAAACTGAATGCCAGCCTTAGGAGATAACCACACAAAATTTCTACTGTAGAAGAACTGAACCCAAAGTTTGCAAAGGCAGAGGTATTCAGCAAGCTTGACACAAAGGCAGGGTACTGGTCTATACACCTTGACAAAGACTCACTACTCCTTACAACATTCAGAACTCCATTTGGCAGGTACTGCTGGAAGCATTTGCCATTTGGCCTACGTGTCTCCCAAGACCACTTCCAGGCTAAGATGGATCAGATCCTGGAGGGGCTCCTAGGTGTTGTCAGCATAGCTGATGACATAGCAGTCTATGAAGCAAATGAAGAAGAGCATGACATGAACCTGATCAACCTGATGGAATGAGCAGCCGAGATGGATATTGTGTTAAACAGCGAAAAGTGCACAATAAAACAAAACAGTATCTCGTTCTTTGGCAACTTGTACACCGACAAAGACATCAGGCCAGACCCGGCCAAGATCAGGGACCTACAAAAAATGCCAACACCCCAAAACAAAGAGGATCTGCACAGATTCATGGGAATGCAACCAAAGTTTGCGGATAAGGCCCACACCTTGAGAGGGTTGTTAAAAAATAAATCACAGTGGCTATTGGACACTGACCACCAAAAGTGCTTTAAGGACCTGAAGATAACAGTAACCAAGCATGCCTGTTTTGAAATACTATGACCCAAACACACCCCTAACCCTCGAGGTGGACACATCCTAGAAAGGCTTCGGCATAGCCCTGGTGCAAAACAACAGACCCATTGCCTTTGGCTTGAAATCACTGACTGACTGCCAGTCAAGATACAGCAACATAGAGCGAGAGATGCTTGCCATTGTGTATGGGATGCAGCGTTACCACACCTACCTGTATGGGAAGTCTTTCATCATATGTGCAAAGCTGCTGCATGCTGCACCACTCAGGCTTCAGCGCATGCTGATAAAGACACAGGGATACAACTATCAAGTCACATACAGACCAGGAGACCAAATGGTCCAAGCTTACACCCTCAGCCGCTTGCCAAATCCAGAAAACCATTGATAGAGTTGACACAGAGATTAAGGACCCGAAACAACACACTGTTGCAATAATTCTCTCCCCAGAGAAACAGAATGCTCTCCACACTGAGACTGCCAAGGACCTAAAGCTTAATGCGTTAATAGAGGTAATCCACCAAGAATGGCCAGAGAGCATAAGAGACCTGCCGAAGGACCTGCAACCCTACTGGTCCTTCAGGGATGAACTCGCCTGAATGAGGCGTCGTATTCAAAGGCAGACAGATACTCATCCCTGATTCCATGACTGATGATGTACTCAGACAGTTGCATGTGGGCCACCAAGGCATCGAGAAAAAACGTCGTCTAGCAAGAGAGAGTGTCTGTTGGCTCAATATGAATGATGACATCGAGAGAGCTTGTAGATCCTGCGGTGTATGTGTGAAATACCAGGATGCTAACCCGAAAGAACCTCTCCACCCACACACTGTACCCTTAAGACCATGGTAGTCCATAGCTTCTGACCTGTTTGAGGTCAAAGGTCGCCAGTTCCTGCTAACTGTGGACAGATACTCCAAATACCCACTCGTAGATGAAATGTCCATGCCTGTATCCAGCCATGCAGTTGCACAAAAGTTACAAGGGTATGTGTCACTGTTCGGACATGTGGACAAGATTTTTACAGACAATGGGCCACAATACACAGGACAGGCCTTCAAAGAGTTCATTAAAGACTGGGGTATCAAGCACATCACAAGTATGTGACTTTGGGACAAACAAAAAAACAAAAAAAAAAAAGGGAGGGGGGATTTTGTTATTGTTCATTTTGATGTTCTTCTAACTGACATTGACTGTTGCCCTAACATATATAATTTATAAGAAATTTGTTGACTTGTTGATATTTGAGAGGGGCACTATAACTGAACAGGGGGGATGTAGTGATATGCAGTAGGAACCATACAGCGCTCAGTGCGCACCCGGTCAGTTTATGGTGTTACACTGTTTACTACATATGCTGGCTTCTCCCTCCAGTAAAGTCGAGTCTACTCCATAAACACTGCGTCATAAACCTTGACTCCATAACACTTCAGTGAGAGCGTGTTCACCTGTGTGTGTGTCTGTGTGTGTGTTCATGTGTTCGGTTCACTTCAGTTTATTTTTGGTCCCCCCCCAAAAAAAATATTATAATTACACTTTTCATTTCATTTCATTTAAATCATTGGACCAAAAAAAGGTGTAGGCTGAAGCCCATGGCTTATTGTGCCTACCCTTTCTTCACTTTTATGCCAAACGTAAAGAATATACTTTCAAAGATAACAAACAAGAAAAGCAAAAATAAAAATAAACAGAATAAATCTGTACAATGGGTATGTGTGTAATCTGTATGTATGCAATGGGCCGAAACTCTGCCGTGTGCAATTTATATAGCAATGTAAACACGCAACCATGTAGAGACAGAAAGATGCAGCCTTGTAAATAGGCAAAACAACAAACTATTTTGTTTGTTTAATAAAAGCGCAATGTATCAGCCTGTTCTGCATGAAAGGTATCCCTATGACTTCTGTTTTCTGGAAAAAAAGGGGGGAAATATGCCATTAAGGACAAAAGCTTAGGCCATGGCCTACATTGCTTTTACTTTTATACTTTAAGTAATTTTGAAACCAGTAGTTTTACACTTTTACTTGAGTAAAAAAAAAGAGTCAATACTTAAGCTTCTACAAAAGTCTTGTTTAACCCTAGTATCTATACTTTTACTTTAGTAATGTATGTGAATACTTTTGACACCTCTGTTTACACCTTGCCTTTCCACCTGCTTTCATTGTCTGTGAATAAGAGTATAGCGATTTAATTTATAATCAATGTCCTAAGATTAATAATCGATAAAAACCTTAATTTTTATGCACTCGTTGAAGGGGCACTACCCACCTTTAACAGTGGGAAAATTAAGAAAAACAAAGGTTTGATTCAGAAATCAAACATTAAGTCAATCTTAAGTTAATCAATCTCATATCTCAAGCTGAAATTCTCATTTCAGGGACTCCACTTCTGGAAGAACACTAACAGACAAGAACTTAGAAAAATAATGATCTGTTTATGACAGGAAAAATGATGGTACAACATACATGCAATAAATGATGATAAGATAATGGGGACAAATAATGATAGAAAAATGTCAGATTCTGAGTTAGGCTCTGATTATTGAAGTCAATGATAGTGAGTGAATATGCTCTAACATATTGACCTACATTAAATTTGGTGTAGAGATAAATTTGGATGTGGATTTGGATGAATCTAGGATTACTTGAATAAATGAATATTTGAATTATGAAGGCATGAGACAGCATCAGCCCTGTCTGGAGCTCTGGAGGTTTGCAAACTTAAGTGAGGCTTCTCCTTGGAGAAAATGGAGCAGGTTCGCTGAAGGTCCAGGCTGCCTGCGGTTTGAGAGGTTCAGCTCAGAAGAGGACCAAAGTCCGATGAAAGATGGGCCAGAAGTCACAGCACACAGACCTGAATGCAGAACCAGCGCCCTATGTATTGTTTGGATGTTCCTTTGGTCTCACCGCAAAACCCTACCACAGAGGATGACTTTGGGCCCGCTGTGTGGCATTCAGAGGTGACTTTAAAATCACGCAGATGACTAAGAAAAAGAGGCTCAATGGCCAGTTGAAACTATTTCAAAAATGACAGCAAAATTAAAGAAAAATTAGATAAAGGCTTTATCTTGGATTGCTATTTGCACATACAGTTGACATTTCAAAACTTTAACGAAGACGATGTTTAAAGAAAAATCAAATAACCTGAATGAACATGTGGCATAAAACTTAGAAGACTAAGAGGAAAAAGTAAGAAACAAGAGTAAGAGAGAGAATAAGAGAGCTAAGGGGAAACAACAGGATAAGAGTAAAATAAAGAAGAGACTGAGCACCCCAAATTTACTGGTTTTTTGTTCTTCAAACTGGGAGTGTCTCTGGGGTGTGTGTGAGGAGAGAGAGGAGGGCTCTCCTGTTGCAGCTTCTTGAGAGGAGACCCTCAAGATCCTGATTATTTGATCCAACTTATACTTTTGCCTGGTAAAAGAGACAGATCTGATACTCACTTACTATGATTTATGTTAATAATTTGTTCATAATAAATTATTTGATACTAAGCGCATATAAAGAAACATAGAATGACATTAAACATTCTCATGATGTTTAGGTATCAAACTGAACATGCTAAACTACTCTGAAATGAAACAGTAACACATAGAAACTGTGAACAACAAAAGAATAAATACATGTGAATGAACTTCATTATGATTAATAATGGATTCTACATACTCACATTCAGATTATTCAATGACATTATAACCACCTAATGATTACAAATTCTATTAATGATTAAATTATAAACCAAACCTTTCTAAACTATTTCTGTTTCTTAGAGTATAGATGTGATTCATACTCAATAAATTTAACTCTTAAAAGTTCATGAAACAGTCTGAAAAGCTGTTGGTCTAAAGAAACTAAAGAATAAAGGATTTATTTTCTCAGTGATAACTTGGCTTCTGGAGCACATAGAAAAATGGGACGCATCTCATTTAACACAAATTTCATCATTAGACAGATTAGTACATTGCCGAAGGCATAAGACATCATTATCAGTCATTTGTATTCTTTCTCCAAAGGAATGCAGGTTTTATCAGTACATGGTCAAGCAGGGTTTTACGACTGAGGTCTGGAGGTCAGCGTCCTGCTCCTTAGACCTTTCCTTGGAAAAAGACATTTGATAATTTTTCAGTGCACTGAAACACAAAGAAAGTCTAAAGATCATATTAGTATTGAGGTCTGTTGAAAAATATCCATATAAAGGAATGAGATTCTTATGGAAATGTTTAATAATGGTTTCATGAGGCACAGCAAAGTCAAAATACAGAGCTGGGAACAGATAGACAAAGCTGATGTAGTAATGATCAGACCAGTGTTTATGGTAGGCATAGAAAATCTGTCAGGTCACATATGGTATAATTGACACCTACCACCTAATCACACTCTAGGAATTGCTGGTTTAGCATAAACAAATCTGTAGACAGGTAGAATATGGACTTATACGGAATAACAACATAATTGCAGTTATTCTTCAACATCATTATTTAAGACATTGAGAAACTATCAGACAACTCAGCAAAAAATATGTCAGTTATTTGAACCCCCCCCCCCCCCAAAAAAAAAAAAAAAAAAATCAAAATAGGACAAAACATGACAAATTAAAGTATTTTTCTTCTATTTTTAACTGTGCAATGTCCAAAGGGAGGAAAAACGGTACCCCGAGGGGATAATATAAAAATGTAACAAAATAACTGAAATTAGGCATTCATGAACAAAATATTCCTAATATACATTTTCCACCCATTCCTTGAGCATGTGAGTCTTCTCTGGTGAAGACTCAGGGTTCTTGGCACAATAACCATATAAATTCCCTTTAAAATCACTACATTTTCATAGTTTTTTATTCATAACCACTGCGCTAAATAAAGATAGCATGCAAATTCCAGGACCACTCTTACTGACCTTATTCCCTACATGCAGCTATCAAATCCACCCAAACTTACTTTACCCTCTATCACTATTGCCGGGTGAAAATCACCCAAGCACATGCCTGTAGGAAAAAGCAGGTTTTGGATCAGGGAAACAAATATGCTTTCAAAGATGTCAAAGGCAATGCTGAAGCTACCCAGGGACCCATGAAAATCACATAAACATGTTTGGTCGGATGAAAATCACCCAGCGATAGTGTTATAGGGTTAAGCTGTTATGTGAGAGATGTATGTACTTGTTCTTTTTATTTTCTCGATGTGTTACAGTTGTGTTTTGTCTACTTCAACATGATCTAATAGTTTGAATTAATTTTATTTTCAAAACATGCATTTTATTTTGAACTGATTGTTTGGGTTTCCTCCTCTGTTTGGCATGGCAGCTCTCAGCTTCTTGGTCGGCGTTGTCGACTGAATCTGATGTGGTCCGCCACCAGGCCCATTAAGGACAAACCAAGTACAGCAGAGAGCACCAGCCGGACTGTGGCTTCAGTGTGACACCAGCTGAGCATCTCTAAGGGGGTGAGAGAGAGACAGGGAGAAAGAGAAAGAGAGAGCAGTGCCGGAAACTTTACAGAGAATCTACCTGATCTTGAACCTCAAGGTTCAGGCGTAGATGAACCACCAACTGCTTCAAAAACCAGGGAACTCAGATTAAATCACAGAATTTATTCAGACATGATGTACCATCCAACAGAGAAAGATACACAAAAACATTCTCAGTTTCAATCACAGGACAGAGATAGAGAGGAGAAGGAGGACAAGTGCTGTGTCCCCATGCTTCATCATACCTCCGTGGTTTAAACACGTGTCCTCCATGAGGAGTCTGCTACTCCTCTGATCCACAGGGTTTTCAGCCACACAGCTGTACTCGTCTCCATTGCTGGACTCTACACTCAGAGACAGAATCAGCCTTGAGGACATGTCAGGACCGCTGGTCTCCCTCAGTCTGTCCCTGCCTCTGAACCAGGACAGCCTGAGCTCCCTGCTGTTCTGCACACTGCACTCCACCAACAGAGAGCTACAACTTGTGCTCACCTCTGATGAGTTAATTTTGATGGACGGGGCACAGACGGGAGCTGGAGGAGACAGGTGACAGAAGACAATACCTTTATGAGACCACCATATTGAGGTTAAAATTTGATCCTGTATGGTTCAGATACAATTCTTTTACAACCAGAGATGAGGAAAGTTCCTGCAGCCCTTCATCATCCTGCTGTGATGGAAAATAACCAACCTCACTGCACTTTTCAATGGCACATTTCACAGTGAAAACCCCCCAGATGTGGATGCTAATGGCCTCGCAGTCTAAGCCCCCATATATAGCGAGAACAGATAGGAAACCTCACACACATTGACTTGTTTTATTTCTTTATTCATTACAAAGATTTGCTTTAAGTGGAACATTTCTTTCACTGTGAGATTTTATGAAGCCAAACATGTCACAGACCCTGACTTTCTCCAGTTTCACAGGGGGGTTAAATATTTTCCTTTTATATAGGAAGTTGAAATTTTAGTATGTTGTTCTGCCCTCCCTAAGGATCTCATCTGTGGTGGTTTGACCTCCCTAAATCCTTTCTGCTGCCCGTGAAAGGCATGGCAATGTCCAATTAAGACATTAAGTAAATTAAGCATCAGAAAGTGGTCAAATTTGCTCCAAACAAGATGAAATTTCTGGGATGTTTTCAGACCTCTGCCAGAAACTAATATTTCAAATTTGGAAGCCCCGCCTCCTTCCTGAAGCTAATTCCTGTTCCGAAAAAGGCTTATTAGATGATTCATATAGATTATAATTTTATAACTTTCAGAGGCCTCAGTTCAAGTTTCACGTCTGTATCCACGGTAGAGGCCAAATGAGAGCAAAAGAGCAACAGGATCAAAGGGGCAAACAGGCTGCATATCTCAACTGGACCTCAAAAGGTTAAGATAGCTCTATGGAGCTCCTTTGTAGGAGTGTCTGGCAGCGATCTTGTTTTAAGACTAACAGCATAAACAAAAAAGTGACCCCTGGTCTTTTGGAACATTTTCACAAATTTAAGACCCCCTTAAAACTCAGTTTTATAGCAAGTGTCAATGAACAGGACATGGCCTGCTATTTCAGCCCATCAAGAGTCTCATTTTCAGTTTTTTTGTTGTTGCTGTTGATTACATTTTTTTCTTTTTTTGTATATGACATTTTCTGTATGTGTCTAGGTCAGGGGTCGGCAACCTTAAACACTCAAAGAGCCACTTGGACCAGTTTCCCACAGAAAAGAAAACACAGGGAGCCACAAAACCTCTTTGACATCTAAAATGAAGATAACATTGCATATATCTTTTTTTTTTACCTTTATACAAAGTATATAAAAAACTGCAGCGAGTTGCATTTATGAAATAAATGAACTATTTCGGCGAGTGTCTGTCTTCTTCTGTAGTTAAACCGCGAGATATCAAAATCTACCCGGATACAGCAATGCTGCTTTTTGATTGGCTGTTCAGTAGATATACTTTATTTGATTGGCTTGTGCGTGGCACGCAGCTTCTGAACTCTCGGAGGAACTCAGTTGATTTCCCCCTGTTCCATAGTTGAAGAAGTGCAACTTGGTGGACATCACCGTGTTCATTTAAATGCGTGAGAAATACAATGTGTGGTGTGTGAGCGTGTGAACGAGTGGGAATGCGTGTGTCATACGCTGAATGCGTGAGACTTGAGAGCCCTGTGCTCACGCATCATCGATGTACTCCCGAGCCATGCAAAGCGGTCTTTGGAAATGTTGCACTGAACGCCTTCCTTTTCAGTCTTGGTGAAGTTTTCCCACACCACTGATGTTTCAGGTCGGGATTTGGGTTGGGTTGTGTCCATGTTTTTCTCAGCCGCTGCCTCGGCCATGGCTGTTTCTTTTCTGTGCGTCCTGCTGATGTTTACACGTCGGTGTCCATGGACATATAAAGACCCGACGAATCGATTACAGAATTTGTTGGCAACGGATTTTTTCGTCACGACGAATCTACTTAATCGATTCGTTGTTGCAGCCTTAATAGTTTATTTAATGTTACAAGAGCATTATAATCTTTGAATTTAGAGTTACAAAAAAAAAAAATAATAATAAAATAAAATAAAATGCAATTAAGTATTTATTATTTATTTTCCAAATCCATTGGGAGCCGCAGCTTAGGGAAGAAAGAGCCGCATGCGGCTCCAGAGCCGCGGGTTGCCGACCCCTGGTCTAGGTAAACTTTTAATATACTTATCTGTGCTCTGTGTGCATGATTAGTGTATTTATTCTCATGTTTGCTGTGCTGAGCTTTTGCTGCTATAACACTGCAAATTTCTTCACTGTGGAATGAAGAAAGGTTTATCTTATCATATCGTATTCTATCATTTACTGACATACGATTATATTTATAAACATATATATAGCCAGGTATATATATATATAGCTAGGTATATATTTATATATATATATATATGTATATGTATATATACATATATATATATATATATATATATATATATATATATTTTATTTATTTTTTTTATTTTTTTATTTTTTTAAGTAGTTTCATAGTCATAACACTTAATATTTAATAAGATCTACAGGCCTCATCTGGTCATCATCAAATTTGCGATAATATTGGGTATTCATGACAGAAACCTTCCAAAAAGTGTTCAGCATAGTGCACCCTTCCTGTACTGAGATAAGCAGGAAACACACATCTGAATGCAAACCACAGAAACGTCATTATGTAGGTGAACGCAACTACATGTGAAGTTTGAAGGAGTTTGAAATTCATAAATTGAGTTGTTTAATGTGACAGGGTCTGATGTTATCCACAACTGCTAGAAATTTGGGGATTGTAGGTCAAGCTGACATGTATCAGAAAGGGCCCTAAGTTTTTGTGATCTAATCAAAAAATGGTAAAAAAAAAAAAAAAAAGAAAAAAAGATGGTATTTATTTGTTAGGTTTATCTAATTAAATAAAATTACATATATCGCAAATTGTGTTAAGAGCATTGTGTAAATTATAAAACAAATATTGTCCCATTTTATAGTTTGTATTGTGGCTAAAATGCTTTAACCTGTTTCATTAATTTTTAAATATTTATTTATGCTTCAAAAATCAAACACAAGTCATTATTTAATGCATAGAAACGTATTTGTGGTCAAATGTATGTTTGACAAATGTTTTAATATCAACTTGGTCTGTGACGCACATCAACCTCCTTCTTCTACCACCGTAGCAACAATGTACCATTGCTACAATTTTGTTGAGAGAACTGAGAGAAAGTATGTTGTAATGAAAAAACGAGGGATCTTTAAGATAAAGTGAATGAATACTATGAAAACGAAGTGTACATTTGTCACTAGAAAAGTTTTCAAAACTACGCTTAAGTCACAAGCTACCTTAAAATATAGCAATTTCCACCGAAAACAGAGGGAATGTCCCCCATGTTTTTTGTTAACTCAGGGAGAAACACAGCAGTCACGTAAGCTGAAGTCTGCCTGCAGAAAAGACTGGGCAGATGAAATGTACCCATGTCACAATTCCAGGGCCGTTATTGTGAAATGAACGTTTTGTACAGTGGACCAACATGCACATAGACCCTTGGATCTGCAGGAATCCACTCAGAGCAAACATGAGAGCCCATAATACAACCATGTTTTCCAATTAAAATTCCAGACAAAAGTTGCAGCCGCGCAAACAAGAATGACACAACATGAAATCTCATTCTCCATCGCAGTGTACAAAGACCTTCTCAAAGGTATTCTCCAAAGTTATCCAGATAAACCCTTTATATAAACCCTGAAACTGTCTTCTACTTCTGAGTCATAGTTTCAGACCACATTGTAGCTGAGCAGCATTTATTATACATGATAAATCCATCAGGAGGACTTACCATAGACACTCAAGTTGAATCGCTGGGTGTAGATTTTGGAGCTGATGGAGCGGCACATGTAGATCCCAGAGTCATTGAATGTGAGCCCAGAGATCCTCAGAGATCCGGATTGACGGTCCAGCTGCAGTCTGTCTTTAAAATGGTCACTGAAATTTGTCCTCTGTTCGCCATCCTTTACTCTGGCTATCCTCGTGTTAGGGCTCTGTGGTCCAAACATCCAGACCACCTGAGCACCCCTGTCACACCCGTCGTCTTTGGTGGTCAGAGTGACAGAGTCTCCTTTTTTGGCTCCCACTGCCTCCCATTCTTCATCTGAGCTCACGCAGCACAGCAGGACTAAAGACAGAAAGGAGGCTGTGAGATGTCAAACTACATCCTCAAATAGAGTGGGACACTATGAATTCTAACAAAAACAAATCATCATTTTAATCCTGCATTTAATTTCCAACAGGTTAGTCACATGGCTGCATATGAGAAGGAAATTCAGAGAGGCTGGGTCTGTCAGAAGGAAAGATGGGAAGATGTTTACCACTCTATGAGAGACTAAGGGAGCTAATAGTTGAATGGTTTCAGAATGATGTTCCTGAGAGTCAAATGTAAAAGAATGAGTGGATTTCATCATTTACAGTACATAATACCATTCAAAGATTCAGAGGATCTGGAGAAATCTCTGTTGTAAAGGGACAAGGACCAAAACCAAGACTGGATGGTCCTGATCATCAGGCCCTTAGGCAGCACTACATTAAAAAACAGACAGGACTCTGGAGTGGGCTCAAAGGTTATCATATACAGTGTAAACATGATCCATAAACACCAGAGACTCTAGACCTGAGCCAATTCAAGATGAGTTGAGGGGAGGAGGGAAACTGTCCTATGGGCTGATGAATTAACGTCTGATTTTTATTATTTTTTTTAAATAATGGACTCTGCATCTTCCTCTCCAGAGAGTAGAGGGATCACCCAGTTTGTTCTAAGCTCCCAGTTCATATCCAGCACCCCTGATGGCCTGGGCATCATTAAAATCCATGTGGTGGGTAGCTTCCACATCTATGAAGGCTCCATTGATGCTGACAATGACTTATTCAGGCAAGATAATGACAAACCACATTCTGACAACAGGGATTACAACAGCATGGCTCCGTAGTAGAAGAGTCCTTCTGAGAAACTCAACTGATGCAGTCCTGACTTGTCCCCCATTTAAAAAACATTTGAAGCATCGTGACACCAAAAACAGGACAAAGGAGACCCTGAACTGTTGAGCAGCTGAAATCCTCTATAAGGCCAGAATGGGACAATATTTCACTTTCAGACTCCAGAACCTGGTCTGCTGGGTTCACTGAGGTCTACAGAGGGTTGGTGAAAGAAGAACTGATGACACACAATGAAAAATGTGAACCTGTAAATACTCCTAGAAACAAGTTTCTCACAGCAAATTTTAAATGAGCCAAGATTTTTTATCAAACAACATTGTTTTTCAGTTTCAACATCTCATATGCTGTCTTTTGACAACTTTAGATGATTAGCAAACAATCCGGTCTGTGGTCCATCAGTTATTTATGGTTGACTGTGATGGATGACAATAATATCATTTATCAGAGGTCTTTAAAAAGCTTCAGCTTGCAAATACTCCAATATGTGTGAAGGTGTTATGAGTTTGACATTGCCCCCCTTTAAAGGCTGAACAGCTTGTTTTGAGTGAAAGTTTGTTGACTGTGGGATGAAAACATCAGTGCACAAGTTGCCAAGAGATCAGTGTATGTTGTTGTTTCCTTCTTAAAAAATATGGTTAAGGCCACAAAAGACTGCCTCTTGTTGCCTGCAGAAATACCACGACAACACCTCCACTCTCACTCAATTTGGGGGGGGGGTTGACAAAGTGCTTTTGACCTAAAACAAGGGCAAACATCTAAATGTGAATGTGAAATCACTCCCAAGTTGTGATGTTTGATTCTTTTTCTAAAACATGCTCATTACGCCCTGTCTATCTGTCTGTCTGTCTGTCTGTCTGTGTCTGTCTGTCTGTCAGTCAGGTGATGAAAGTCTGCAAAGTGTTTTTGGTCGGCTGATGGGATCCTCTGGGTTTCATCTGTACGAAAAGGTTACTGACATGTTGATACGAGATAATGTATCAGCAGGAAAGTATGTTTGAAGAGAAGTATCCTCTTTATCCTCCTTCAGCTTTTAAACATGAATATCACTGTTCTTCTATTTTTGATTTTTGTCTGCCACGAATATTATTTCTGTCCTCTCTTTTACTCTTACTTTTACTACCCATTTTACTGCAGATAATGCAGCTCCAAAGGTTAAAAACAAACAAACAAACAAAAAACATTTAAGTAAATAACCAATTTAGTTTTCACTTGATGGCTTAATGATGTAAGTGTTTTTCCTCTAACTCTGAGAACACGTGTTTTCACTCGAATAGTTAGTGTGAAAACCCCTCTGCACCTTAAAACCACAGCTTCAGGCTAATCCCTACAGGAAGTTGAGTGTACACTTTTATATTTACACAGAAAAACAATACTGTGCATGCAACACCTTTTCTCAGCTGCATCCTGCAAGGTGCAAAATAGGAACTGCATCAGCCTTCATGCACAGATCACACAGTAACAAAGGTCACTTTCACACCTGACCAAGCGGATTCGGTTTGTTTGGGGAGCTAAAAGTCGCAACATTGTTGCATTAACAACTTGTTTCGGTTCTGCTTTCACACTGTGATCTCTAAAGCGCACGAACTTCCCGAGCAGCATCACGTGGTTGAAAGAGGCACTCGTCGATTGGACAAAGTAGGAGAGGAATGTTAATGAGCAGTACAGGGGCTCCACAAGGGACAGAGCCATTCCTGTTTACACTGTACACGTCAGACTTCAAATACAGTACTGAGTCCTGCCACATCCAGGAATACTCAGTTGACATTGCTATTGTGGCATGTATCAGAAATGGACAAGAAGCTGAATACAGAGATCTGATAAGAGCCTTCAGTGACTGGAGTCACAAAAACTGCCTCCTCCTCAACACCTCAAAGACAAAGGAGATGGTCATAGACTTCCGTAGATCCAAACCCCCTCTTCAGCCAGTGAACACCTGTGGAGTGGACATCAAAGTGTTCTCATCATATCAATATCTGGATGTACATCTGGACAATAAGTTGGACTGGTCTAAGAACATAGACTTCATCTACAGAAAGGGGCAGAAGGTAAAAGTGAAGAATCCATTTGTAACACACCGCCCCCAGCTGTGTGTCTGATACATGTCCTTTTCTCCTCAGGTTGTTTTGGGCACAGAACCTTCTGACGGACATTTCAGATTTTCAGAATACCTCAGCACTCCTGCCTTTTGCTGCACGGTGGAAATCTCTGCATGAGTTTTGCTATCCTGAAAAAAAAAGTGCCATATGAGCTCTGTATACAGCACTCCATTTCTGTATTGTGCTGTATTCAGGTTTTTGAAAAAGATGCTTCTGTAAGCTCCTGTGCATTTATTTCAGCTGTGTTTGTGCAAAGACTGGTATTGTGACAGAAGAGGCAGTTCTGAGGTTTAACAATCCTACTTTGCCTCTGATTGGCCCTGAGAGAAACAGCACGCGTGTGTACAGACACTGCGAGCGCGCAGGTAGTGACGGCGAGCGCACGGGTAGGTGTTTTTATGCGTGCCGATATATTTTTTATGCGCGCGGATTTTCGGCACCAAATTGACGCCATAGAAGTGCTCCTTGGACAATGCAAGCACTGAGGTCTATAGGATCCCTCCAAGCACAGACCAGTCATTTTTGGAGAGAGCTCATTGGTCAGTGGGTGGGGTTTTTATACTCCGTGTGTTCAATCTGGAACCTAACCTGCCTCGGAGCAGGTTAGCCGTTCAGCATACGTTGCCATGGTGACTTGCCTCACTAAGAGATGAACCCGCGTCGTAGAACAGGAAACCCCGAACTTACCCTTGAAGTTACCTCGCTAAGCAGTAATCCTGCTTCGTAGAACAGGCCCCTGAACAAAGCAGTTCGTGCAGTCTTCAACTGACCCAAAAGAGTAGATACCACTCTGCAGTGCATCCTTTTCCACCAACTTCCAGTAGCGAGGACAACAAATATAAAGATCTACTTCTTGCCTGCAACTAAACCAGCTCCTGCCTACCTGCAGTCCTTCATACAGTTCTACATTCCCTCCTGTCCATTAAGCTCTGTTGATAAAAGGCACCTGGTGCTCCCATCACAACAGAGCCTTCAGTCAGTAGCCTGACTCATCTCCTCTGTTGTCCCTCAGTGGTGGAATGAATTACCAAACTCTATCAGAGCCACAGCATCCTTTTTCACCTTTGAGAAAAAGCTTCAGACTCCGTTCCACAGAGAGCATCTAAGCACTGAAGCTCAGCTCTTGTCCTCTGCTGTCTCCAGAGGTAGAATGACTGAAACATATGTTCTACTTTGAGACACTGACGATTCTCTACAAGATGCACCTGATAATGACGATGAAGATGGTGATGATGATGACAGTGCCACTGTGACTTCATTTGGTTGGTAAGTCACTTTGGTTGATGGATAAATGATGGTTAAATATTAAATATATAAAAAAGTGCATTACCTAATATACTGCATGACAGCTCTTTGCCTAATGGTCTTTAAAGCGTTTTTTGGCACTGCTTTGTGTCGTTTCCTTCTATCTAGATGTTTTCTAGTGTATTTGCTCTCAAATGTACATCGATTTGGACAAAAGCATCTGCTAAATGAGATTGTACACTATTGAACAAATTGAGTGATGCATTGTCAGGAGTCCAAACACTTAAATGTATGCATTTTTTGGTTCATTTTTCATATTCCATCCTATAGTCATTCTTTAATTTTTTTAATGTATTTTAGGAGTTTAAAATCGTTTCATGAAAGTGAAAGAAAACAAAGGTAAATAAACAGAGCTTTTTACGCTTACCCGCAGTAACAAAGACAGCAAAGGGTTTCCTGTGAGGCTCCATCATGTTACTTGGTCTGTCTGTCTGTGTGTACTAAAGGACACCGCTGATGTCAACCTTCCTCTGTGTGTGTGTGTGTGTGTGTGTGTGTGTGTGTGTGTTCCTGTTCTGCTGGCCGTAGATTATCTTTATGCTACTCCACCCACTCCTCCTCTTAATGTAATGTCTGTCAACCTGTACTGGCTTTAGATGATGATGAATAATGACTGTTGAAGTCAACTACAAGTAATTCATCTACACCTTTAACAAGCAGTGATGAACAGTACAGCAGACGCAAAGACTGAGCAGCTTTCACTCAAAAATGTAAATCACAACTTCTTTCTCGTCTTTGTTTTGCCTTTCTTTTCAAAGATCACTTCAATGTTTTATTTTAGATTTTCATTGTTTTTCATCAAAGAATTGTTTAAATCCTTATTCTTTTCAACTTCTTAGAAAATAAATGGAATTCAGCCATTTTACCCCTCAATTTTTAATTTTACATTTTTTCCTCAAAAATGAATCTTACTTTTTTCACATATTTTCTTTTTTGGTATTTTATTCAAGACAGAAAATTCAAACCTTTTTTTATTTCATGTTTGTCCTGAAAATGTATCTAAACTTTTTTTCTTAAATTCAATTTTTTTTTTCCAATTCTTTTCCCTCAGTATCGAATTTTATCCATCTTATTTTATATTTCTGAAATTTGAATAATTACTTTTTCAAACACGTTACATTTGTGTTTTTTCTCGAAAAATAAATACATATTTGTTGCAACAAACTTCAAATCTATCACTATAACTAATTTTTAGAGCATTGACTGTCTTGCTTCTTTTTCTCTTAACAATGTATGTTGGATTAGTTTAAGGGCTGAGATCAAAATTGAGCATGAGGTGAGGTGACAAATGAGCTCGCAGAAGACAGCAGGATCCAGTTTAAAGGGTTTATTTGACAGATTGGTATGGTATGCTGCAAAGTGGTGTTTCTGGAGTAAAAACCAAGAAATAATAACAAAATGTGCATTCATGGCAAATAAAACATCCTTCAAACAGTTTAAAATATTTCATTATTGAATTTAAGGTTAAATTAATCCGAAGTCAACAAAGATGCAAAAAAGGTCTCAAATTGAACAAAACTCACATTCTGACACTCTTCAGCAGCAAACAGGTCATCATTGTCCATAGTCTGTTAGTGAAACAGAGCTCAGTGCTCTGCTCAATCTAGTAGAGCACCAATCATCACACCTGTCCAGCTCTCCAGCCAGCACAGGTGTGGCTGCTGCTCCACTCAGGAGGAGCAGAGGGGCAGGGTTTCCAACAATGTATGTAATTTTTTTCTCAATTTTTGATCTTTTGATGGCAGAAAGGGTCTTTTGAATATTTTTATTTTTGATGTCTTGCTTGAAGTGTAGTTGTTATAAAATATATGGTCATAAGTCTTTCAATTAGCTGGGAAACAAGAATCCAAACAAATGAGTTAAGTAAAAATGTAGTGCATTGAGAAATAAGCTACAGATACCTTAACTGTATTGTTTCTGTAAACATGTTCATTTCTGCTGTAGAGTTGGGCATTTCAGCATTGGGCTCGATGGGGACTAACCACAGACTGTATATAGAATGGACACCGTCTGCCTCCTGGCTGAGTGAAGCCATCCTGAGAACAGCACACTCTGGTGACTGGCTGCAGTATAGATCATTAATCCCGCCTCCTCCAGCCATCCTTAAGGGGGCTTTGGACAAACTTTAGAAATTAATTACACAGAACATAATTTTTTTCCCCGTGCTTGCGATGTTGACATGTAGTTACTGTGAGATTGTTTTGTGCTCAAGTCCTTTTTTTCTGTACAGCTCCATTTTTAAAAGTTATTAGGGGATTCATGATTTTTATGATTGACACTGGATACAGCCTATTGGTGTAGCTCACCCAGAGGAATACGCTGTTTGAGCAGAGCGTCATCACAGCGATTCTCGGTGACTCACCTGCCAAATGCGTACAATGTTACTGCGCAAGTGGTGGAGTGCGTACAACACTACTGCGCAATGTTAGTTTCAGGAAGTGGAGAAAAAGCGGGAATTACCGAGAGCTTTTCGGCTTCAAATCTGTATACTGGCGGAAGGTGGAACCAAGTTGACCGTAGTATATACAGTCTATGGGACTGACTCCCTGCAGGACACGGCCTCTAGTGGACACTCAGTGTACTGCTCTTCAAAATGTCTATATCTGATTTAAAAAAATATATACTATGGTTCGGGTGAAGGTTGTGGGAACTTTTCTGGAAAAATGACGGCACTGAAACCTCCCACTGTTCTCACTTTTACTGCCCTCATCCATCTTTCTCTTCCCTTTAAGTCTTATTCCAGTCTCTCACATCCTCATCATAGCTTTAAAGCAGCATTTCTCACATCTGCTTACACAGCAATCAGAGCACCTTGTCTTTAAAAAAAAAAAGTTCACTTGAAAATATGGCGGTCAGCTCTTCTACTCTTAACCTAATACTCATAATTTAACACCATAATTCAGCCCTTTTTTGTATTTCTTTTCTTATGGTCTCTGGTCAAAGTATGACAGCAGGTAAATAATGTTATTGTTTTCTTTATCAAATTATGTCATTATTATATGCATTATTATATGATGATGGTAATATGTCTGATATATGATGAAATATGTCTGAAAACATTTGCGCTCCATTCACCTCAGACTACAAGGGATGAAAAAGGAAAATGATTTCATGTAATAAGTTCATTTTTTGTGAGGAGATACTGAAGGAAAATATTGTAGATTAACAGGATTAAAGTCTATAAATTTCAAAAATCAAGTTTTATCTTTTTAAAAACACCATTATGTAACATTACTGGCACAGGAGCACTTTATATCTTTAGACTGGAATTTTGTAGGATAAAGCTAAATATTTTAAAACTAGTTATTTTATAAAGAAAATTGTTGTTTAATACAACAATAAAGTATGCCTAACATGAATTTCCTTCAATTACTGTCTGGCACAGAGATCTTGAAGATTACACCGCAGCCATATGTTCAGAACAACTACAACATGAGACTTGTTGTGAGATACATCACCGACCACCTTTTGGCAGATTTTTCTAGTTTTTTCTTTTATTGTGACTGTCATTACTGCTAACTGTCAGCCTCTTCACTCTGCTGCTCAGAACTGCACTGTTCTCTTTAATCCTGACAATTCTATACACACACAGAGTACACAAAGAGCTTAACAGAGAAGAAGGGTGATCATTATTTGAATTTGGAGCTCATACATGACAGATGAGACAAGTTTCACAGTTTACAACCATCTTTCCTTCTAAAGCAGACATGAAAAAAGCTTCTTTCTGACCAGAAAATGAATACATGATACTGACTGTGCATTTTGCATTCCTGAAACTATAAGCGTGTTACATGTCATATTTTTTAGCTTAACTGAAGCTCCCACTTCTTTGTTTTTAGTGTCTCTCTGCAGCTCTACCTGGAAACATGAACATCAACTGAAAGATGTTTTCCTGTGTGACTAAGAGGCACACAGAGAAACCACATCCTGTTTGGCCTACACCATGTGTGATAGTGTGTGTCCTAGTGTGTGTGTGTGTTATGCACAGTAAACCCAGCTAATATGGTGTGTCTGTGTTTTACTTCCCAATCAATGTTTTTGTGAGTTTCCTGTGAAGTTACACTGGGGTGTGGGTGGGTGGGGGGTTCGATTCTTTCAAACATTTTCACATGTTTTCACTCATGATGGCAGAGTGCTGTGAAATCGACCTTTTTAACTGCCCACACCTGACCACAGAGGGGAATTCAGTTACTTTTGTACTGAGAAACATCCTCTTCTTACTTTTCAGTTGAGACAAGCCTTTCATTCTTTCCACATGAAGTCCCCCTTAGCCAACACTTAATATGAGTGTGGTCATTTATGTTTTGGTTGTTTGATTTCTAAATTGGCAGCTCTCTCTCTCCTTCCCTCCTCTGCAGTGGCAATCAGTGTGTGTGTGTGCGTGCCTCAGTGTGTGCGTGTGTGTGTGTGTGTGTGTGTGTGCTGCTTATTGTTCATGTGACCGGGTTGCTGCAGGCTGATTGGCTTGGTTGAGGAGTTTTACCCACCACCTGATGCCAACCTTCACCTCTTGCTCTTGCCATTTCCAACTTGCCAGCATTCAGTGTAATGTATTTGCTCTAGGTCAGTGACTGTGGCAGTCTAGCATTTTACAAATTGGCCAGCAAAATTACCTCTGGTAAAACTACTCAAAAAGGGATCTTTGTGTCCTTCTTAGCCACGAGATGGAGCACAAGAGTGTAAAAACAACAGCCAGAGGCCTGTTCTACGAAGCAGGATTACTGCTTAGCGAGGTAACTTCGAGGGTAAGTTCAGGGTTTCCTGTTCTAAGATGTGGGTTCACTTCTTAGCGAGGTGAGTCTCCATTGCAACATACGCTGAATGGCTAACCTGCTCCGGGGCAGGTTAGGTTCCAGATTGAACTCACTGAGTATAAAAACCCCGCCCACTGACCAATGAGCTTTCTCGAAAAATGGCTAATCCGTTCTTGGAGGATCCTATAGACCTCGGTGCTCGCATTGTCCGAGGAGCACTCCGGCACGCGAGAGTTTTCAGGGACCGCAGGGACTCACTTACTTTTCTGGATGACCACCTTTATGAAAGGCTCATATGGCCGACATATCACACAAAAAATGTAAACATGATAGGAATGAACAAATGAATAAATTCATCTTGGAAATGAATTGGACCTGTCTGGTGCATGTTAAAAGCACATGTTGAACAGTGCTATTTCAGGGGGATAATGGCATCAAAGATTTTTTGCGCACTATATTTATGCATTGAGACTGTCTGCAATTTTCTGCCAGCATTCCTTCCGTGGTTTTGCAGCGGCGGTGGTGTTGCTTTTAAGGTTTATGATAGATTTGAATTCTTCATACTTTCTTATGATCGTCTCCTGCTCCTCGTTTGTAAAGTCCGCTCTGCGGCCTGCTCTGACGCTCCAGACTGGTCCATGTTTGCGATTGGTCAGATGCGGTGGGCTCTGCCTTACATGCGTGCATGCGCTCATAGCAAAGCTGGATCCACTTACGAGGTTGATAACCAGCATTGTAAGACCGTTTAGCGAGACTGCTGGCTACCACGCTAAGTTGAGCGAGGTAGCTCCAAGACTACCTCGCTAGGTCGAACTTGCTTTGTAGAATAGGCCCCAGGTCAGCAGTCTGGTCTCACTCTAATGGTAATTTTATTGATCACAAAAAAGTGCATTAAATCAACAAAAACAACTGAACAAAATGTCTAACCCAGAAAGTAAACTCCAGCCTCACAACAGGCTGTTACCAGCTCCACACACATCAGGCAAAATGGTTGGCTTCACCTTTTAAAACACCCTCAGGAGCTCCACACTGACCACTCAGGCACAGGCGGAACCACTTGACATAATTAGGCTGCAGTCCAGTTTTCTCCTGTTTTTGGTTATGAGTTAGGTTATCTGCTGCCTTATGTTTTAGATTTATTTTATTACAGGGAAGCTAGGGACCTTGGTTTAGCTGTTTTGTTCATTGTTTTGGCACTGCTCACCTCTTAAGTTATTAAAACTGCCACTCTGTGGTCTTTGGCTGGTTTTCTTGGGAGTGGGAAGAGTGGGGCACTCCATTGTGTGCGGCCCTCGTTCCCCTAGGCCAGGGGTGTATTCCACAAAGCTGGCTAAAGAAGGCCGGGCTATCGCCGGTAAGCGTGGCTTGAATAAGTGGCCACTTTAATCGTAGCTGCGACTCGTTCCACTAACGAGGCTCAGCTGTTTTTCAGAGACGCTTATTCTAGCCAGGATGATCCAAGCCGCGGCTCTGCGCGCTTCCGCGGTGCATAAAAAGCCTCGACGTATCGGTTGTCGAACTGACGAGATCATGGGGAAAAAAAGGGCAGAGCGGAGTTTTTCTCAGCGGGGGAGCAAACACTCCTCATGGAGTTGAATGGAGAATACAAGGGAAAAATTCAGAAGAAGGGCAACACTGTTGCCCTTGTGAAAGCCAGGGAGATGGCGTGGTTAAGTATCGTGGACCGTTTAAATTTCTTAAGTTATAGCCGACAAATATTTTACAACTGACGCATGTCTCGATGCAGTCAGCCTGCTTGGCTGTCTAATTTTATTCCTCACTTCTGCGTATGTACTGTAAACACTTTTTTTTAAAAACTTTTCATCTCGTGTCTGTGCAGCTCACTCATACAGTCTGTCAGCCTCTGTGCAGCACCTTCGCAGCAAGCAGGGGTGCCTACAGCTAGCCTGGCTGGGCCATACAACAGCGGGGGCGCCAATTTGACAAGAGTTAATACAAAACTGCTTTGCGGTGCACATTTATTATTATTATTATTTTTTTCTTTATTTTTTGGAAGTGCTCGTGCCGCCCCCCATGACTCATGACACAAATGCCGCCCCGGGCGGCTGCCCGGTTCGCCTGTGCCTAGAACCGCTTCTGTACTTTAGGCATAATTCATGTTCTTGATTTGACAAATAGACATCCATAATGGATTAGTATAGCAGCTACAGGTGAGACCTAAAACCAAAGTAGGCAAACTTAGACAAAAAGTGAAGAAAAACATGTACCTGGAGATGTCTTTCTTTTTAATTAGGGATGATGGTGGCACAGCGCCCTTCATTTAAATAAGGGAGAAGACACAAATGAGCTTGTACACAGAGTAGTCATGTCGTCGTTTGCCATCACCTTTACATTATCATCATCATAATCAGAATGGACCACTGGTGAAAGGAAGGTTTTTTTAATGGCAAATTGTTGCTGTTGTCGCCTTCAGTGTTTTGGATGAGATCATTCGTGCCTTTATTCTGTTATGTGTTGACAGTACATTGAGAGTCACAGAAAGAAATAAAAGAAAGAAAATCAGATATTTCCAAATAATTACCGCTGACGGGATCGAACCCACAGAGCAGTGAAAAACACATTTTACCAGCACTTCTCTTTACCCACTCAGCTACTGAATATTTCTCTTTCTCTTTGAGGTTGGCGTAGTATTGGGCATGTCCGGATTCACGTATTCCTATGTTGTTTTAAAAAGCTCCCAATTTATTTTTCCGAACAAGAGCATCGTCTATGACAGATAAAGATGAAATTACTGTGTGACATGCGGCTCACAAAGCGTCTTCTGGAAGCCCGTCGGAACTTCTCTGAGAAGTAGCTAAGGTCAGCTTGACCGTAAGCCTGCCTGGGACCAGGCCTGTTGCGCTGGCTGAGTTACCATGGTTACCAAGCCACGCTAGACCTAAGCCTCATTTGTGGAACTGAACTCTCACTAAAATTAGCCAAGCTAACTGAAATAAGCCAAGCTTTGAGCTAAGCCAGCTTCATGGAATACCCCCAGCTCACATTCAGGGTCTAACAAACGAGTGAATTATCTCCTTAAGGAAGTTCAATTCAATTTCAGTCCATCACTCATGCACTGCTGCCATAACAGTCGTGAATATATTGGTTAAATGTCTTACAATAAGTTTTATGATAAGATAAGATAAGATAAACCTAGGTTTATCCCAGGGTGTGGAAATGTATTGTAATAACAGCAGCAAAGGATCAGCACAGCAAACAAAGAAGAACAAGTAAACTCATCATGCACAAAGTGCACAGGTAATTATATAAAGTTATCTTAGACCTAAACAGAAATTGTTATATACAAAAAGAGAAAAAAAAGTAAAAAACCGCAACAACAACAAAACTAAAACAGTTCTATTAATTCAACAGAGAAGAATTGCACATTATTTGAGTTATTACACCTGAGAAAAAAGTAGACATTTGCAACTGTAATTAATATCTAGTTTGTCAATATTGCACATTGGGGTAGCAAGTTATTGTATATAAGTTGTGCCCAATAAAATATTACAGGGAGAAGACCTGGTCAAACAGTCAGGAAGCAGCAGGAAGAAAGGACTTGTGGTTTCTCTCTGTCACACAGTGCAGAGGAAGAAGCCCGTCACCGAAGGAGCTGCTCTACAGGGGGTGGGAAACATTGTCGATGAGCGATGATAGCTTAGCCTGCAGACAAAATTGTAAGACACATAGTCATGAGCTGCCTTGGGTCCATTGATGAGCTCACCAGGGGGCACAGATGACACAAGACCAATATCTCCAGGGTCTTCACCAGGTGCAATGTCAGTTCCAACAGCCTGTAGTGGTTGAGGTCCTTGGGTTGAGAGATCTTTGGCACTGCCAGAGTGCCCATCGGGTTCTTGGTCACCTCCCTGACCAAGGCCCTTCTCCCCCGCGATCTTTGGCACTGGTACCACGCAGGAGGTCTTCCACAGCTGTGGTACCCTCCCCAGCTGCAGTGTTATGGTGTAGAGGTGCTGTGTAATCCCACACAGCTGGTCTGCGCAGGATCTGAGGAGCCTGGAGCTGATGCCCTCTGGACCTGGAGACTTTCTGACCTTTAGCCTTTTCAGTTCCCTTTGTACCTGGGGCATGGAGAAGGACAGGCTGGCACAGGGTGACTTTACTGAGGGGTGTAGTCCACTCAAGAGGGGGAGCAGAGGGTGTACAGGGAGGTGTGAGTGTACAACAGGGAGAGTCGTTAGAGCGGGGGTCATGCAGTCAGCAGGAGGTGTTAACGGCAGTGGTTGCAGCAGGATGGGCTGGGCTGGGGGAGGGGTGGATGGCTGGTCAAACCTCTAAAAGAAGGTGTTCAGGTTTCCACCCACTCGTGGTCTCTTATTAGCGCAGCTGTTGAGGACTTGTGACCAGGGTTGGTTTTTAGGCCCCTTCAAACTCCACTGATATTTCTGTGCTGCAGCTGATCCTCCATCTTCCTCTTGTTGCAGTTTTTCCCTGCGCGGATCTTTCTTCTCAGGATCTTCTAACCCATCTTCTTCTCCTCCTTGTTCCCTGACTGGAAAGCCCTCTTTTTTGTCCCTCAGAGAGCTTAATTTGTCTATAATTTAAGACTGAGAATTATATGAGATTCCTTGACCAAATTAGGCCTCATTATAATCTTCCATGATTGTTAACTCTTCTTTACTTTTCTAAATATTTTTGTTGAAATCAATTTATTTAGGCCCACAGAACACTGGAGAGGATCCAGCAAATCTGTATTCATAAGGTGCTATATTATCAAAATAATATTGTTGTCCAGGATCGTCATGTTTTTGTCTTTGCAAATTACCTTTTACCTTTCAATTTAAATCTGTCTTCAAACTGAACCTGCTGACAGGAAAAACTTATCTCTATGTCATTCCGACAGTCTCCAGTGGGTGACAGTGGAGCTTCATCACAGCTGTGAGCTGCCGGTGAACCGCAGAGAAGAAGAGCTGCCGTTTTCCACGGTGGCGGCACCTGCGTAGCAACATTGGCTGAGGGAGGCAGCGAAAGGGAGAAGTTGTCTGCTGCCCTGTTTGAACTCTGTTGTCCAGCTTTTGACGATGAATGTAAATAAAGCTTTCGGCAGTACATTGATGCTTTTCCGGCTCTTCGTTGGCCTCAAGATGCTAACTGCTGTTAGCCTGCTAGCTGAGGTGTGTTGATTTTGAGTTCACCTGGTAGACCAGGTTAGGAGAGGTCGAACTGAGAAAGCAGGCGAAAAAACGAATGGACAGGTAAGACTTTACCTGATGATAGTAATGTTGGAAAAGAGTTTATTTTTTTAACAGTAAACGCCCAGCTAAAGGCTCAGTCCTGAGTCTTGGTGGGTTTTCAGTTTCGGGGTTAAATATTAACTCGTTTTTTTGTCTGTTTGTGTTTTTAAGGCAGAATGTTGTAAATAACATTTTTAATCATTAGGAACTAAAGTAGTGGAGCTTCAGCACCTGCTCAGTAATGATTACGTGTTGGTGAAATGAACGAAGGTATTTAAATGAGTTAATCATGTTAAAAATTACAAACACTTTGCTTATATTGACCTTTATTTCCTTTTATTTTATTCTGGATTAAGCGCAATTACTGACTGAAACCTGTCTGTACTCAGGAATCAAGTTTTACTTGTTTGCTCCCATTTTTTTCCCGAATCGTGAACAATAACAGATTTTCACAAAAACGGCTTTGATGTTAATCCATTTGAACTCCACCAATTACCATAAAAGCACCAAAAACAGCTGCTTCAGGAGTCATGTGATTGCAAAAACATGTAACTGACAGGGTTGATACGGGCATGACTTGCCTGACTAGAGTGTAAGGTCCAAATAAACTTGTTAAACCACATACCAAGCTGGTGGGATGATGAAAAAACTCATCAGCCAATCTTCAATTTATGTACTACATTGTTGTGTCACAGACCCAATGTGTCACAGATTCTGGTCAGATATTTTGCACAGCAGTGAAGGTGAAGTGATGTCCAAAGTCTTGATTTTTTCTTTTTTTTTTTTTTTTAACCTGTCCTTTCTTTGTAAACAGCTGAATTTAGTCTGAATCATGTGTGTGAATTTGAAATTCTCTAATGTCTAATGTAATCTGTGATAAATCAGAGATTTCTAAATCTGCCCTGTCTGCGTGAACATGCTTATAGCAGCTCTGGGTTAATTTATCAGGTTTCATGCATCTCCGCTGTCAGCGGATAACCTAAAGATACCTGGCTGTTTTGGACATGCTTTGGAGTGTAGGTGGTGTTGTTTTAGACTGAGAGGTTTATAATCTTGTAAAAGCACAGAACAAAGTCAGTAATTGCTGCCTTTTTTTTGTTTGGTTATTTCAGAGCTGAAGCAGGTCCACAGGAGGATGGTAACTCACCACAGGGAGCTTCTGAGATGAGTTCCTCAGAGGAGGTGAGAGCATATGTGAGTAAAGACTTTGTAGATTTTGGTGATAAAAGTTTATTAGTCACACACAGCGCACCTGTTGGCACACATAGGCCCTCATTTATCAATCTTGCATAGATCTAAGCGCAGATCTGAGCATAGGATTCATTGTACGATAGGACACACGTGAGATTTATGAAAGGGTTCGTATCTGACCAATCCCAGCGTACGTATGATCGGGTCTTGCTACATGCTGTGGCTGAAATCGATTGTCATTAACATGTCACACCCTTAAATATTCGTGGATCAGAAGCCTCGCCCACAAAGGTTAAACATGAAAAAGTAGAAATATTAAAAAGATTCAAAACTTTCCGAGCTGGAAGTGAATATCCTCACATCTGTTGTGGAAAGTAACAAGGATTTTCTCTTTGGAAACATCAAAACTGGTATAAAAGCAGTCCAGAAAACTCCTGTCCGGAGCAGGATTATGGTGGTGGTGAACAGCGCTGCCACGGAATAGCGGATAGTAGCTGAAGTTTGAATAAATCATTAGTCAATAAGTTGTTCATGATGATAAATTAATATCTCATACATGCCTCATATGTTTTTATTGCCATGACAAAGGGGAAGTTGCTCCTATTATTGAAAGTTTTAATTTGTTTGAATTAGTTTTCATTTGTAATGTAGAGCAGACCGGAGAGTCTGACAGAGGCTGAACAAAAATGATTTTAACGTCACCAAAGTTGTGTTGCTGCCCCCGAGACACATTTTTATGGATTTTTATCACTGATTAAATAAGAAGAGCACTTTCTAAACTTAGACTTTACATGTCAGAATCCACCGATAAGGTCCTGTCTCCTCTGTACAGCACTTTTGTGGAGTCTGTCCTTGTTATTGTTCTTCGGGGATTGGGTTCTTACGTTGCACCGGCACAGCTAACAGCACTCCATTTGCCAGTGTAACATTGTGCAAAACTGTACTGACCCAAATGGTGTCCCACACCCTTTCAGGAGTATACAACATGTCCCGCTGCTGGGCCAAGACAGGGACACCTGCCTTTTAGGAGTCTAACGCAGCGCTCCACAGTGGCGTGTGTGTGCTCAATGTTAAAACGGCGCTCCTGCTCTGTGGCAGTGTTTGCCGGCGAAGTTATCAAATAGGCTTATTCACTAAGGGAATAACAATTTTCTTTTATTTAATTTTATTTACGTCTTAATCTTTAATGAAATTTAGCTTGTGCTTAATGACAGGTTTGTTTATTAGTTATTTTGAGACAGACATTTGCTGCATATATATATATATTATGTGTGTGTGTGTGTGTGTATATGTATATGTATATATGTATGTATATGTATATGTGTGTGTATATATATATATATGTGTGTGTGTGTGTGATTTTTTTTTTTAATTTCAACAATTTTTATTTGTAAATTGAGTTGTTTGTTTATCATTCTCACTTTAACAAATGATAATAAATGAGTGAGATGGAAAATTTTTCATTTTTGATTTATTTGCATAATAATTCTGCACACTAATAGCTGCCCCCAATAATTGTGCACACATAGATATTCTCCTAAGGAAGTCAAAATCTCACTTTTACTCCCTTAAATATTCAGGTTTGAGGTTTATTAACATTTTGGATTGACCAAGAGCACTGTAGTTGTTCAAAAATAAAATTTATCCTCAAAAATACAACTTGCCTAATAATTGTGTACACAGTGTATATATATGCATATATATACATATGTTTATATGTATAGATATAGATATAGGTATATATACATAGGACTAAATGATATGCTCACAGTTTGGATCTACAGACCAACACATGCTGGATTTTCCAGGACTGTAGTGTTATTTCAAATGCTTCTGTTCTTGGCTAGTAGAAGAGTTAGCATGAGCAGGCAGCAGCCTGACACAGGACCGAGGTCTGGATATCTGTCATTCCTGTGTTTGTTTCTCAGGTGAAACAGGGGGAAGCAGACGGTGGCAGACTTCATCAGTGTCAGCAGTGTGGGAAGTCTTTCAGCCGGGTCTGCAGCCTCAGACAGCATGAACTCAGCCACCCTGCAGAGAAACCGCACCACTGTGAACAGTGTGACAGCAGCTTCAGTCAGCTAGAGGCGTACCAGCTCCACCTGCTCAAGCACTCTGCAGAAACACTTTACTGTTGCAACCGGTGTGAGCAGAGCTTCAGCAGCCACAGCTCATTCAAACAGCACCTGCGTGAACACAGTCGAGTTTACCAGTGTGACCAGTGTGAAAAGAGTTTCACTTACCTCAGCATTTTTAAGATCCACATGCGAGTTCACACCGGGGAGAAACCATACTGCTGTGATCAGTGCCCCAAGAGTTTCAGTTTTCTGAGCTCATATAAGCGACACCAGCTGAGCCACAGTGGAGAGAAACTGTACCAGTGCGACTTTTGTGGGAAAAGTTTCACTCAGTCTGGTCATTTCACTTTGCATCTACGCAATCACACGGGAGAGAAACCATATGAGTGTGAGCAGTGTCAAAAGAGCTTTAGTGACCTGAGTGGATACAGGATACATATGAGGGTCCACACAGGAGAGAAACCCTACTGCTGCTCTCAGTGTGGGAGGAGTTTCTCTCAGTTAGGGAACTACAAATCACACATGCGCATCCACACGGGAGAGAAACCATTTCAATGTGAGGTCTGTGACAAAAGCTTTTCCATTTCTAAAACATACAAACAGCATGTGAACACGCACACTGGAGAGAAACCGTACAAGTGTGAGGAATGTGGGAAAGGGTTTGGTCGGCTGAGTAACTATGCGCGACACCTACGTATCCACACAGGGGAAAAGCCGTACAGCTGTGGGCAGTGTGGGAAATGTTTCAACAGTTCATATAGTTACAGCCGACACCTGCGTGTGCATTCAGGAGAGAAACCGTACTGGTGCTCTCATTGTAAGAGACTGTTTACCAGATCACAGTCCTTGAAGAAACACCGCTGTATACAGGTAGAGAATGAGAGTATGATTGTGTGTAAGCAAGAAGAAGAACCACTCAGTTGCTCATTAACACAAAATACTGATGACACTCAAGAACCAGTGAATTAAACTACAGCATTTACTGAATGAGAACACGACACAATACAACACTAAATACCACTAATGTGTATTTGATTTAAATTAAACAAAAATATTGTGACTTAAAAAAAAACACTTAAGACATGTTGATTAGGTACACAGTGGTTGCATTAAGTGTGTCCTCTAAAAGTTCTTTTTTTTGTCTCTGACAGACTCCAGTTGTTATTCAAAGAATCTGACAGCATTACAGAAAAGATCCCCACAGATTAAGAGATTTCTGTGACAAAACAAGATGATTTTTTTGAAACCATAGTCAGGTGATACATCACTCTACTAACTCACCAAACTGCACTGAGAAAACCAGGAGTGTAACCTGCAGGACACAGGTATGTGGACTCCTTCAGCTGCTCAGTTTGTTTGTGTATCTCTGGGTCATTGAAGTGTTGTTATAGATGTACAACGTGTTTCTCTTAAATGCACAACTTAATTCAAATTTTAATTTGGTACTTTTATTTTTGGCATAAATGAAAGACAGAATTCTGCTGTAGTTATAACTCTCTATTAAATATGAATTTTTAAAGGACTCTTTCTGATAAATGGGCTGTTTCTTTCTTTACATGTATGTATGTATGTATGTATGTATATATGTATGTATGTGAGTATTTATATATATATATATATATATATATATACACACTACAGGCCATAAGTTTGGAAGCAAGGCCATTACAGGCCAAACAGTTGGGAGTAACTTCAGGTTTTTGTACACAATGTTACAGCCTTATTCCAAAATGGTTTAATTCCTCTTTTCCTTCAAAAATTCTACACAAAATACCCCATAATGACAAAGCAAAAGACTTTTTTTAGAACATTTTGCAAATTTATCAAAAATAAGAACACTCAAATGTTGCATATACATAAGTATTCACACCCTTTACTCAATACTTGGTCGAAGCACCTTTGGCAGTGATTACAGCCTCCAGTCTTTTTGTGTATGATGCAACAAGCCTGGCACACCTGGATTTGGGGAGTTTTTTCCCATTCTTTCTTGCACATCCTCTCAAGCTCAGTAAGGTTGGATGGGCAGCGTTGGTTCACAGTTACTTTCAGGTCTATCCAAAGATGTTCAATCGGGCTCAAGTCTGGGCTCTGGCTGGGCCACTCAAGGACATTCAAAGACTTGTCCTGAAGCCACTCCTTTGTCTTCTTGGCTGTGTGCTTAGGGTCATTGTCATGCTGGAAGATGAAGCGTCGCCCCAGTCGAAGGTCTGGAGCGCTCTGGAGCAGGTTTTCATCAAGGATTTCAATGTACTTAGCTCCATTCATTTATCCATCGATCCTGACAAGTCTCCCAGTTCCTGCCGCTGAAAAACATCCCCACAGCATGATGCTGCCACCACCATGCTTCACTGTAGGGATGGTATTAGCGAGGTGGTGAGCGGTGCCTGGTTTCCTCCAGACATGACGCTTGGTATTCAGGCCAAAGAGTTCGATCTTCATTTCATCAGACCAGAGAATTTTGTTTCTCCTGGTCTGTGAGTCCTTCAGGTGCCTTCTAGCAAAGTCCAAGCGGGCTGTCATGTGCTTTTTACTGAGGAGTGGCTTCTGTCTGGCCACTCTACCATAAATGCCTGACTGGTGGAGTGCTGCAGAGATGGTGGTCCTTCTGTAGGGTTCTCCCATCTCCTCAGAGGAACGCTGGAGCTCTGCCAGAGTGCCCATCGGGTTCTTGGTCACCTCCCTGACCAAGGCCCTTCTCCCCCGCGATCTTTGGCACTGGTACCACGCAGGAGGTCTTCCACAGCTGTGGTACCCTCCCCAGCTGCAGTGTTATGGTGTAGAGGTGCTGTGTAATCCCACACAGCTGGTCTGCGCAGGATCTGAGGAGCCTGGAGCTGATGCCCTCTGGACGTGGAGACTTTCTGACCTTTAGCCTTTTCAGTTCCCTTTGTACCTGGGGCATGATGAAGGACAGGCTGGCACAGGGTGACTTTACTGAGGGGTGTAGTCCACTCAAGAGGGGGAGCAGAGGGTGTACGGGGGGGTGAGTGTACAACAGGGAGAGTCGTTAGAGCGGGGGTCATGCAGTCAGCAGGAGGTGTTAACTGCAGTGGTTGCAGCAGGATGGGCAGGGTGGGGGGAGGGGTAGATGGCTGGTCAAACCTCTTAAACAGTGGTTCTTAACCGGAGTTCTATCGAACCCTAGGGGTTCGGTGAGTCGGTCTCAGGGGTTCGGCTGAGCCTCCGCCACGGTAGCCTGGCTGGGCCATCCTGTTGCGTGAATCACTTGATGTTCCTTCCCACCACAGTCTGGACTTCGGCCCATAGAGAGCATGTATTACCGATCAGAAAATAACCAGGCCAATCAGAGACCAAGTTTCCACTGTTACCCGGACAACAGGGAAAGGCAGCCCCTGATTGGTCCATGTGTAGTGGTGACATCTAACACATGCTGCTGGACTTTTCAAAGCCCCGTTCATTCAGAACGCTGTTAATTCTGCAGTGGACTCTGCAAAGTCGGCAGAAATTGTAAATATCAGACGTCCTCTGCTGATATAAACGATTTTTCAGTTGGAAAAGTACCCAATTATTGCTAAGAAAGCCCTTGAATTTTTTATACTATTTGTTACAACATATCTCTGCGAACAATCCTTTTCGAGGATGCTGGACTTAAAAACAAAGAAAAGGAACAGACTTTGCTGTGAAAATGACATGAGAGTAGCACTTGCCAAGGTGAAGCCACCCATATCTGAACTGGTCTCTCAAAAACAACAGCAGAAGTCACACTGATTTGCAGGTATGTAATTTGTTGTGAGTTCATGCACTGTGTTGGTTTTGTTCTTTGATCAAGGTGATGTTCATGCACGGTTCATTTTGTGTACCAGTAAAAAAACATATACCTATGTCTTGAATTTGGAAAAAAATCACATTTGATTTATCACTAAAGAAGGGTTCGGTGAATGTGCATATGAAACTGGTGGGTTCGATACCTCAAACAGAGTTAAGAACCACTGCTCTAAAAGAAGGTGTTCAGGTTTCCACCCACTCCTGGTCTCTTATTAGCGCAGCTGTTGAGGACTTGTGACCAGGGTTGGTTTTTAGGCCCCTCCAAACTCCACTGATATTTCTGTGCTGCAGCTGATCCTCCATCTTCCTCTTGTTGCAGTTTTTCCCTGCGCGGATCTTTCTTCGCAGGATCTTCTAACCCATCTTCTTCTCCTCCTTGTTCCCTGACTGGAAAGCCCTCTTTTTTGTCCCTCGGAGAGCTTAATTTGTCTATAATTTAAGACTGAGAATTATATGAGATTCCTTGACCAAATTAGGCTTCATTATAATCTTCCATGATTGTTAACTCTTCTTTACTTTTCTAAATATTTTTGTTGAAATCAATTTATTTAGGCCCACAGAACACTGGAGAGGATCCAGCAAATCTGTATTCTGTATTCCATAAGGTGCTATATTATCAAAATAATATTGTTGTGTCCAGGATCGTCATGTTTTTGTCTTTGCAAACCTGCTGACAGGAGACCCTTATCTCTATGTCATTCCGACAGTCTCCAGTAGGTGACAGTGGAGCTTCATCACAGCTGTGAGCTGCCGGTGAACCGCAGAGAAGAAGAGCTGCCGTTTTCCACGGTGGCGGCACCTGCGTAGCAACATTGGCTGAGAGAGGCTGCGAGAGGAGAAGTTGTCTGCTGCCCTGTTTGAACTCTATTGTCCAACTTTGACGATGAATGTTCGGCAGTACATTGATGCTTTTCCGGCTCTTCGTTGGCCTCAAGATGCTAACTGCTGTTAGCCTGCTAGCTGAGGTGTGTTGATTTCGAGTTCACCTGGTAGACCAGGTTAGGAGAGGTCGAACTGAGAGAGCAGGCGAAAAAACGGAATGGACAGGTAAGAAGACTTTACCTGATGATAGTAATGTTGGAAAATAGTTTATTTTTTAACAGTAAACGCCCAGCTAAAGGCTCAGTCCTGAGTCTTGGTGGGTTTTCAGTTTCGGGGTTAAATATTAGCTCGTTTTTTTGTCTGTTTGTGTTTTTAAGGCAGAATGTTGTAAATAACATTTTTAATCATTAGGAACTAAAGTAGTGGAGCTTCAGCATCTGCTCAGTAATGATTACATGTTGGTGACATGAACGAAGGTATTTAAATGAGTTAATCATGTTAAAAATTACAAACACTTTGCTTATATTGACCTTTATTTCCTTTTATTTTATTCTGGATGAAGCGCATTTACTGACTCAAACCTGTCTGTACTTAGGAATCAAGTTTTACTTGTTTGATCCCATTTTTTTCCCGAATCGTGAACAATAACAGATTTTCACAAAAACGGCTTTGATGTTAATCCATTTGAACTCCACCAATTACCATAAAAGCACCAAAAACAGCTGCTTCAGCAGTCATGTGATTTCAAAAACATGTAACTGACAGGGTTGATACGGGCATGACTTGCCTGACTAGAGTGTAATGTCCAAATAAACTTGTTAAACCACATACCAAGCTGGTGGGATGATGAAAAAACCCATCAGCCAATCTTCAATTTATTTACCGTGGGTACATTGTTGTGTCACAGACCCAATGTGTCACAGATTCTGGTCAGATATTTTGCACAGCAGTGAAGGTGAAGTGATGTCCAAAGTCTTGATTTTTTCTTTTCTTTTTTTTTTTTTTAACCTGTCCTTTCATTGTAAACAGCTGAATTTAGTCTGAATCATGTGTGTGAATTTGAAATTCTCTAATGTCTAATGTAATCTGTGATAAATCAGAGATTTCTAAATCTGCCCTGTCTGCGTGAACATGCTTATAGCAGCTCTGGGTTAATTTATCAGGTTTCATGCATCTCAGCTGTCAGCGGATAACCTAAAGATACCTGGCTGTTTTGGACATGCTTTGGAGTGTAGGTGGTGTTGTTTTAGACTGAGAGGTTTATAATCTTGTAAAAGCACAGAACAAAGTCAGTAATTGCTGCCTTTTTTTTGTTTGGTTATTTCAGAGCTGAAGCAGGTCCACAGGAGGATGGTAACTCACCACAGGGAGCTTCTGAGATGAGTTCCTCAGAGGAGGTTAGAGCATATGTGAGTAAAGACTTTGTAGATTTTGGTGATAAAAGTTTATTAGTCACACACAGCGCACCTGTTGGCACACAGGCCCTCATTTATCAATCTTGCATAGATCTGAGCATAGGATTCATTGTACGATAGGACACACGTGAGATTTATGAAAGGGTTCGTATCTGACCAATCCCAGCGTACGTATGATCGGGTCTTGCTACATGCTGTGGCTGAAATCGATCGTCATTAACATGTCACACCCTTAAATATTCGTGGATCAAAAGCCTCGCCCATTAAGGTCAAACAAGAAAAAGTAGAAATATTAGAAAGATTCAAAACTTTCCGAGCTGGAAGTGAATATCCTCACATCTGTGGTGGAAAGTAACAAGGATTTTCTCTTTGGAAACATCAAAACTGGTATAAAAGCAGTCCAGAAAACTCCTGTCCGGAGCAGGATTATGGTGGTGGTGAACAGCGCTGCCACGGAATAGCGGATAGTAGCTGAAGTTTGAATAAATCATTAGTCAATAAGTTGTTCATGATGATAAATTAATATCTCATACATGCCTCATATTTTTTTATTGCCATGACACAGGGTACGTTGCTCCCATTATTGAAAGTGTTAATATATACTTATACATGTATGTATATTTATATACATATATATATATGTATATATATATATGTGTGTGTGTGTGTGTGTGTGTGTGTGTGTGTGTGTGTGTATATATATATATATGTGTGTGTGTATGTGTGTGTATATATACATATATATGTTTGTGTGTGTGTATATATAAATATATATATATGTGTGTATATATATATGTTTGTATGTATATATATATATATATATGTGTATATATGTATGTATGTATGTATGTATATATATGTGTATATATATATATGTATGTATGTATGTATATACATGTATGTATGTATGTATGTATATACATGTATGTATTTATGTATGTATATATGAATGTATGTATCTATCTATATATATATATATATATTTATTTATATATATCTATAGCTACATATATATATATATATATACACTCACCGGCCACTTTATTAGGTACACCTGTCCAACTGCTCGTTAACACTTAATTTCTAATCAGCCAATCACATGGCGGCAACTTAGTGCATTTAGGCATGTAGACATGGTCAAGACAATCTCCTGCAGTTCAAACCGAGCATCAGTATGGGGAAGAAAGGTGATTTGAGTGACTTTGAACGTGGCATGGTTGTTGGTGCTAGAAGGGCTGGTCTGAGTATTTCAGAAACTGCTGATCTACTGGGATTTTCACGCACAACCATCTCTAGGGTTTACAGAGAATGGTCCGAAAAAGAAAAAATATCCAGTGAGCGGCAGTTCTGTGGGCGGAAATGCCTTGTTGATGCCAGAGGTCAGAGGAGAATGGCCAGACTGGTTCGAGCTGATAGAAAGGCAACAGTGACTCAAATAACCACCCGTTACAACCAAGGTAGGCAGAAGAGCATCTCTGAACGCACAGTACGTCGAACTTTGAGGCAGATGGGCTACAGCAGCAGAAGACCACACCGGGTGCCACTCCTTTCAGCTAAGAACAGGAAACTGAGGCTACAATTTGCACAAGCTCATCGAAATTGGACAATAGAAGATTGGAAAAACGTTGCCTGGTCTGATGACATTCGGATGGTAGGGTCAGAATTTGGCGTCAACAACATGAAAGCATGGATCCATCCTGCCTTGTATCAACGGTTCAGGCTGGTGGTGGTGGTGTCATGGTGTGGGGAATATTTTCTTGGCACTCTTTGGGCCGCTTGGTACCAATTGAGTATCGTTGCAACGCCACAGCCTACCTGAGTATTGTTGCTGACCATGTCCATCCCTTGATGACCACAATGTACCCAACTTCTGATGGCTACTTTCAGCAGGATAATGCGCCATGTCATAAAGCTGGAATCATCTCAGACTGGTTTCTTGAACATGACAATGAGTTCACTGTACTCAAATGGCCTCCACAGTCACCAGATCTCAATCCAATAGAGCATCTTTGGTATGTGGTGGAACGGGAGATTCGCATCATGGATGTGCAGCCGACAAATCTGCGGCAACTGTGTGATGCCATCATGTCAATATGGACCAAGCTCTCTGAGGAATGCTTCCAGCACCTTGCTGAATCTATGCCACGAAGAATTGAGGCAGTTCTGAAGGCAAAAGGGGGTCCAACCCGTTACTAGCATGGTGTACCTAATAAAGTGGCTGGTGAGTGTGTATATATATATATATATATATATATATATATAGATGTATATATGGATGGATGTATATATGGATGGATGTGTATATATGGATGGATGTATATATGGATGGATGTATGTATGTATATATGTATGTATGTATGTATATGTATGTATGTATATATTTGTGTGTGTAGATAAATGTTTATGTATATATGTATTTATGTGCGTATATATGTATATATATACACACTCATACATACATATATATATATATATATATATATATATATATATATATATATATGTGTGTGTATATATATGTATGTATATAGGCCTGTCACGATAACAAATTTTGCTGGACGATAATTGTGCTACAAAATATTGCTGATAAACGATATTATTGACACCGTTTTTTAAATTATAGATAATGATAATATATGGCATAATAATGCAAGTACACTATGTCAAAAGCAATAAACTTAAATTGCTCAAGATTAAGAACTATGAACTAGGATGAACAAATATAATTATAATATTTGGTGGTATATGGTATAATATGATAAACAGACCTTGTCTCTGGTACGGAACAAAAACTTCACTACACACTTAACTATTAAAACAATAAATAAAGTAGAGTGTCGAGTAGGGCTGGACGATATAGAAAAAAGCATATCGATAAAAAAAAATCATATTGATCGATATCGATAATTATCGATATAATTATTTTAATTATTTAACATGTATTTTAATTGCAGCCCTGGATGTTTTATGCTATTGCTTAATGACCTACTTTTAATAAAGAACACACAAGCACCGAATTCAAATTCAAACCTTTATTCAACCACCTTTTTATTTACCACAACTGAAAGTTTTTTAAAAAAGAACTTAAAAAAGAAAAAGAAATCAACTTAAGTGGCCTGAGTGACGTCAGTAAATACTGACAAACAATGACTAAAGTGACCAGAAAATCCAATAAATAAATATTTAAATATTTGGTGAAAATTAACAAAACAAACAAATAAACAGAATAACTTAAGGTGGGAATAGAATACTACTAGTTTCAACTGTGTGGGAAACTGCCCACAACCTGGTGTCACTGAAATATTTCAAAAAATAAAAACAAAGAGTAGGGCTGGATGGTACTGAAATGGCACTCAAATTGTTAGCAAGGAACACAAGTTGGTTCACTGGTTTTAAGGCAGCCCTGGTGCATGTAACAACATTGCCTCCAGAACTGAAAATCCGTTCAGAGGGTGTGCTGGTGGCTGGGATACACAGGTACTTTTTTGCAAGTAGGCTCAGCCTTGGAAATCCACGCTCATTTTCCTTCCACCACAGCAGCGGGTTGGATTCTGAGTCTGCATCTGGTGACGTCAAGTATCTCTCCAACTCGCTTTCTACCTTTTCCTTCTCAGTGAGATGTTGTGAGGCATCAGGGGTAGGGTTCTGTTTCTTGAAGAAGCTTCCCAACGATTTCCGCTGCTTCTTTCCAGGTGGTGTAGTATGTTCTCCAGCGGCAACTGAACCTGTTGGCTCTGCACCTGGAACAGAGAGGGGGAGAGACAGACGTACAGAGACAGAGGAGAGCACAAATAAGTTCAAAAAAGTTTGAAATGTCTGAAACAAAATCATGCTATATGTTATGTTATTTAGAAGTGGTAGTTATATAGTTTGATATGCTTAAACACAGATAATTTTAACTGTACTAAAATATTTTCAAGGTAAAAATCTTATGGAAATTATACAATTAGCTTCCATTATTTTAACAAGAAGCAATGCAGTCTCATTTATCCTTATTAACCCACCTGCTACTTCTGAAGCCCCTGTACGGAACTGGCCAGCATCCAAGGTTTCAGCCACTGCCCTTGTTTTGATAGCTTCTACCTTGTCTTGCTTGATGTACTCCATCTTGAATCTGGGGTCAACTAAGGTAGCCATGTCGAGTAAGTCATCAGTGTCAGGATCTGCATATTTCTCATCAAGGTATTCCAAAATTTTGGTCTTCATCTCTTTTGTGAGAGGTGTGTCTCCTTCACTCACATGTAGGTGTTGCGAGCGGAACAGATGGAGTACAGGCTTCACATATGACTCCCCAGAGAGGCTGTCTGTAAAGTCCACCAGAGGACCTAGTGCCTCATTCATAGACTCCCAGACTTCTATGTCCTGCCAGTGTGGTACCATATGCCGGGTGTGTTTGTCTGCAGCAAGGACTTGGGAGATGGGCTTCTGTTGCTCCAGCACTCTTGCAACCATTTTTTGTCGAGAGCCCCATCTGGTCGCCAACTCTGTGCATAGCTTGTGTGGGGGGAC